CATTTGTAGCAGCAAAAACATATAATGTAACGATGAGTACCAGAATGCTACCTGTACAAGATCTAGTTAATTAAGTATATGTACAGTTCTGTAAACTAATAAAATTTGTTATTTGTAAACTTAAGTAGTATTTTATCAATCTGTTTTATAATCCATGTACACCACAAGTGACTGGCTTCTCATATAAAACATAAGTTTCAAAACTAGGGATATAACAGAAATTTATTCTGCATGCTTGAAAGATTACTCTAGCTATGTGTCTTTGAACAATACTGGATGACATAAATATCAAAATGGTTTACAAATTAGGTAAGTACACCTACTAGGCTTTATTTCATTAGTTCCAGGTTTACAGTTGTGATATCGTGAGATGTTATACTGTGACTTTATTTTAGGCCTGTGTAAGGCGGTAATTAATTCTTTATGGTATTGTCATTAAGCGGGTAATGAGCCACAAAACAAATAATCAAAACATTTCAGAGGTGGGGCGCCAAAAGTGTCTTTGCCTGCGGGTGCTGAGAACCCTTGTTATGCCACTGGGACAGAGTGCAGATAGCTTGTTCGTGGCTGTATACTAAAACAAACTTGCTTTTTCCATTACATTTTTCATTTTAAATAAAGTTACAATGATTAAATACTAGATGCCGCTATGATCAATATGATTGCTCGTAAAAATTGAATCAAGGACAAACAGCGGTCAAAACACGTACTTTTCACTTCTATATACGGTTTATATATCGATAACGCTGTAATTGTGTGCACCTGCTAGCATAACCTAAAGGGCTTTACTGAAACTAAAGTCATAGAAGAAACAAAAATGAGTTCAACTTCATTTTCAATTAGACCTGCAACAGAAGATGACTGTAAAGATATTATTCGACTAATTAAGGTAAATAAATGTTACTTTTTAAATTTTATTTTGCTTGTTTTTATTTAAAGTAAAAAATTCTGCTTCATAAACAGTGTAACATTACTAATAATTAGCTCATAAGTATACCCATAACAAAAATCACAAGTTTAATATACATTTGAGGAACTTAAGACTGTGGCTTAAGAAGTAAATAGGTCTCAATCACTACTGTTTTTGTCTCCTCCCAACCTGCCAGAAGAGTCCTAGAATTGTACTAAAGACCTCGTAGGTTCTGGATGTGACAGATGTAATGTGCTTGGTATATTATCATACCACCTTCTTTGCTTTACTTCAGAAATTCGTATTAATAATTACTAACCTATTCCTCTCTCGTTGATGCTGTGGTCGCTTGACCTACTCTAGAATCTTAAATACTAGCTTGCTGGTTTGTCAGTTCTCTTGAATAATAAGCGAGTTAATTCAATAACTTAAAAAATAATATGTGGTTTTAAAGTAAATAAATAATATAGTAATATAAATCCTTACCCCAAATTTAATTTTTGTGACATAAATAATGCTCCCCCCCCCCAGTGACACAGCGGTATGTCTACGGACTTACACCGCTAGAAACCGGGTTTCGATACCTGTGGTGGAAAGAGCACAGATAGCCCTTCTTCAGCGATACAAGTCCTTTCTTGATTAACCCAGTTTATTCTTTCTCGATATAAATTTTAATACACAGTAATTTCACATTGGGTACGTACCTCGTCACTCTAAACTTAACTTTTATAACACACACTAT